GTCAACAACAACTGACGGTTTCTGCCATCTCTGCAAACAGATTTTCCCCAACTATTTTTTTTTTTTTCTTTCTGATACTGATTGAATGTTCTGGGCTCAAAAACCACCCTCCTATTACAAATGAGGTGGTAGAAGATGTCTGTCATCTGTTAAACTTGTAGGGTTATGCATCCACATGATTAATCTTCTTTGGTAGACCTGGTCCAGGACCCACAGTCAGATCCTGCAGTCCATTTCTGTTCATCCTTCTGTATATAGAGCAGTACTTTGCTTCAATTGACATGTGTCTTTTCCTACAGTTGTTTTTCAGTATCAATTGCATTGAGTCCAATTTAGGATGTAAATGCTTGTCTTCTTCACATTTGTATATGAAAATGTTGGGAAGGTCAAAACTTTCAGGTGGCTGCAGCTAGCGTATGAGGAATGTGAAGGTTGGAATTATTCTCTGAGTGAGCTGAAGAGGATACCAGAGAGACAAAATTAAATTCACTGTGGTGAGAAATTTACATTAAAAGGGAGAGAGACCTGAGAACTGACTCCTTGCTCTTAAATGACCTGATCAGGCTCTCTGGGGTGGAAATACTGCATGCCAATACAGTACAAGTGAGGGAAATATATTTTAGGGAAGTCTAGAACATATGGCGTGAGAAAAGGATGATGTGAATTGTCTTGTTCAAACCTCCAGAAGAGAAGGTGAGCAGCAGATTATACTACTCTCTTAAACTTCCTAATGAGAGGGGAGAGAGAAGACAAGAAGGGATTCTTCCTTAAGCAAGCTGAGATAGGAAAAGAATCAACAACCACAATTTGCAATACAAGAGATCCCTGTTTGATACTGGGAAAGAAAATTTCACAGGAGTGGTCAAGTGCTGAAAGAAGTTGCCCAGGGAAGTGGCATCTCCATCCTGGGAGATGTGACTCCCTTTCCAGCTAAACCTGGACTGGAAAGGGTGTTGAAAAACCTGAGCAAATCTAATGTACTCTTAGCAAGAGATTGGACCAGATTGCTTTGAAAAGTCCCTTCCAAATGAAACAGTTCTGAGAATCTATAGCTCTTACTCGGTCAGTGAAATATTAGGATAAAGTGGGTACATTACTGTTTGTGCAGGTGAAGTCTAAGGGAAGAAGAATGTTTGGAGATAACATTTAATTTATATAGATTTCTTAAAATTTATTTGTCAGTGCTGTGATTTTGAGCAGCTCTACAGGCTGTCTCCTTTCTCTTTTTTCTTGAGGATCTGTGCCATTAACACTATACATAAGCACATCTGTTTGAGATTGATAGCTCAAAATTGAGCCTTTGTGCTCAGGAATTCTTAAAGGACTGAACTGAATGTCACTGGTGCACCCACTGAGCACAACCAGATGCAGGCTTTGGAAGATAATCTCAAATGGAAGACCTGGGAGATAGAGTACACATTAGGATATTTTATGTATTCTGTTCTAATTATATTCTCCTACTCAGAAAGATTACAGAAAGAAAAAAAAACATTGCATTCACTTAATAAAATATTAAGAAGAACATGGGAGAATGGGCAACTACACACTGCTTTCTGCAATCACACAATGTCCTGTGATGTGTAGCATTTCTAAAAATGGAGAAATGCCGAGATGTTCAGATTGACATTTCAGTGCCTGTCTGCATTCAGTGTCTGTCTGAAATATAAGGTTCAATAATCCTATTATGTGTGTCTGACACACTCCTCCTTCTTTAGCAAAGTGCCTCCCATAGCTGCTATAATAAGACAGAACAGCAAAAGCCTCATACTCTGTGCCTCATCCTATCATTCACCGAAGCTATATCGTCATCAGATGCAATCTATTGTTTTCTTTCCTGCTGTGTGCTATTGATTTTTCTAACCTTTCCTAATGTTAAATTTGTTTGGCTTTTTAACTTTCTTACCAAAGGTTAAGGTTATTAAGTTGAGCAGGTATCTATAAAACTACAAGTGTTATTGCTTATCTTCCCATTGTTATACTGTCCTTTCATTAAACTCTGACTGCATTGGATAGCTCTGTCTTGAAGACTTTTGTCATTCCAGAATAATGCAGTGAAGGTTGAAAGGAGCTGCATTACAATTGTCATCCAATTCTGTGGCATAAAATATTGGACTTGATATGTCAGGAGCAACAGATTTATCTGAGGCTCTTATACCATCAGTGAACATGAACTACACAGACTTAATTTCAGCAAGTCTGTAAAGAGGATACAGGACAATTCCAGTTCTGCTGCTTGTTCTCTCCCCCAGTTCAGTCTGATGATGCCAGTCTCTTTGACATTGTGGCAAAAGGAGCAGTACTAAAATCTCTGCCAATTCTACAACTGGTTATCTGTATAATGTGGAAAGAGAATGAGAAATCACAGTTTAATTTGAAGAAAGTGGTGGCTTTAATGGTAGCACTCTATCAGCATTTTTTGATATGACCTACAGCAGTACTTGTATAAAGCATTAAAGGCACAGGCAGAGAGAAACAGTTCCAGGCACTTAAAAGGCCCAGTACCCTCTTACAGTACTCACAGGTACAGTAAGCTGCCTTTAATGAACTGTGCATTTGACACCCCATTCATATATTTACATTGCATTCCAGTGATATGTGTTTGAGGCCTTTTATTGTGAATTTGCACAGAAGACACTAGCAGGGCTGAATATACATTGTCTGTGCATGGTGCATCACAGCTTTCTCCTGGAACTGAATGACCTTCAGTACTCTACAATCATCATGCTAATGTTATCTTGCCTTGGTAGTACCTTGCAGTACCTCTAGAATAATTTTTTTGTCAAAAAACATCCTGAGAAGCTAGGCAAGAATTAAACTCAAGATAAATGTTTCTAGTAGTAGCATAAAATAATAAATTATCATTTAAGCCGTGGGAGACCATCATTAAAAGGAGAAAAACACAAAAATAAAAACAAAAACAGCCCTGACACACTGATATTCCCTGTGTGGAAAGTAGAATTGCGTACCTTCTGATGACAAACCTGCCTGTTCAAGATCAGGCTTGTTAATGACTGCAGAAAGGAGTGTTTTGAAATGCTGAGGGAGAGTGGGGATTAAATTTTTCATTCATAAATTGGTATTTGTAAACTGCTTACTTCTGCCAATGCTGTGAAGCCAAGGAATGGCCATGGCAAAAGATAAAAGGCTTGACTTCTCTACTACTAATTGAAGAGCTGGCAACTGAGGTTGTGTCTTCTCCCATACTCAGCAGTAGCTGTCCCTACCACTGATTTAGTCTTCATCTGTCATGTTCTCAAGCTGCTCAGAGGCTGTCTGAGAAATACTGAGGTCCTGTCTGTTCACGGTTTCTCACAGCTTGGTCTCTTTTCCCACTATCAGTGCTGGTACCAAGACTGAGAGCACCCCATCCTTAGTGAATGAGACACCTTTTCATTTAGAGTGGCTTTGATAAAAAAGTTCCCTTCAGTAGTTTTCAGTTCTGACTGAGCTTTTCTGAGTGGGACTGAACAACCCTATACCTTTCCTGGATTCCCTGGGTGTCTCTGGCTTATGTTGCCAAACTCACATGCTCATTACAGGCTCCAGATGGCCTGTGTCACTTCTCCTCCTTCCAGTGTTACATTTTGGCCTTTTCTAGAAAAGAGTGGAGATACGGCAGCTCTTCAAAGAGTTTTGTGCTGAGCACTGAGTGCAGAATACAACTACCTTTTCTCTCACTGCTTTGCAGAGGAAGCAGCGTCACTTCTGCAGTGGAGGTTTACATATGCTGCTGCAGCTGCACGATGCTTCATTTTGGCAAGCCTATTATTACTACTTGAAAAAATATTTAGAGCAATATCAGGTCTCATAAAGGCTGATACTTTTGACCAGTTTACTTTCAGAAGTTTTTGAGAAGTGTAATAGAAAACCTGTTATTATCTTATTGCTTTTCTCTTCTACTTTATCCAAATACCCCACTGCCTGATGACTTTATTTAGTTTTATATGCATTCTGACTGTGTGGAGAAGCATTTCAGTGGTAGTGTATGTCTTCCTATTGGAGGCTTGTTACTTTGTTGCATGCAATTCACAAAACTCCATGTCTTCACTAATCTGGGAAATTTTGTCTTCTGTACCTTTATTTTTACCATCAAGGTAAAGGCAACTTTAACACTTTTATGTTTGCTTTGTTGTTCAGGGTATTTTTCTGATGTAACAGAGTAATGTACTTTATACACAGAGGCACTCATACAAAGATTCTGTATTCTGAATGCTTTTCTCTTATCAGTTGTTATTGTGTATAGCAGAAACATAAAATATGTCAAGTAAGACAAAGCTGGGAGGCTTTTAAGGGGACCTTGAAGTGGTAGGAGAGGGAACTTCTAAATCCAATGTGTATGATTCTTATTTTAATTCACAAAGCTGTATTGGGTATTTTTTATTCTTTATACCTCTTTGAATACTGAGTTTATGTGGTAGATGCACTTCATTTTTCCTTACTCAGCTTTTTATCAAAGGCTTAGAAATTGCTTTAGCTCTCAGGAATTCTGACTTCCTGCTCTTCTCTAACATGTTCTCAGCCATAATACTCCAGTGCAAGGAAATTGTTGTTGAATCACTGCAAATTAACTGCAGTACAGCTGCACTGTTTGTGGGATGCTTGAACACCTTTGTATGTTCACATTTATACAGGTTTGAATGTATGTAGCAGAGACATAGTAAATGCAGCACCAGAGAGGACAGTCATTTTCCTGAAAATTAGTGATGACCCAGGGCTTGTCCATCCAGCAGAGCATTGTAAAACATGCTTATCCAAACTCACAGATGTACTCAATGGGCTTTGAATATATACTCCTGGACCTATCAAACTGCTGATTCATAGTAACTAGTTCAGCTGTCTTTGGACCATGTAAGGGTCTTTTACTTAATTCTGAACCTCCATGCAGAGACTGAGTGGTTGTCTGCAGTTAATTTCATCAGGGATGTCATTAGTTCTCAAAATTGAAAAATTATTGACTTTTTCTTTTTTCCTCTCTCTCTGTTTTGTTGCTTCTTCACTAGGGATGTGAGTTAATTGAGACCATGGATCAGGACCTCACAGATTTCACCAAGTGCCTTCAAATACTCCAGAAGAAGATAGAGAAGAAGGGCCTCCAGGTAAAGACAACACATCTTTTTTTTTCTCTGCATCTTAGTAATTACTCTTTTTCTCACTGTATTTAGGTTTATCTTTCAAGTTTGCACTGAAATGAAACTATTTTCAGTAGCCTTGATATTCCGCAGTTTTGCCATAATTTACTGCACACCTTGTAAGCATTGATGCTTCTGCTAAAAAGAATTACAAAGTGTGTCGATGAACAAGTGTTAACTTTCTTAAAAGGCAGCTTGTATTGATTTCTGTTAATGAACTACCCAAAGTGCAGAAGCCCGTTGTGGCTGGTGTTCAAATCAAGAGTCCCACTTTGGCATGTAAATATATTTTCAAGTCTTGGCACACTAAGCCTTGATATTCATCCCCTTTCTCTCCCCTTTCAAAGGTGACATGGAGAGGGGAAATCTTATCCTACCAACATTACAAATGGTAAGCAATACCTCCTTCTGCAAAATGTCCCCCTGAATCAAAGACAGACTTTGAAGAGCAACTAGTGCATTAAACTTAAAATAAGCCATATGTAGTTCTCCAGCCCTTTTCATTGGAAAGGCAAGGGAGGCAACATTCCCCCTCCCCTTCCACAGTTTAATTTCATAGGCCTGCTTGTTTTGTCTCTGAGATGCACAGTTAAATTTCCTTGGGAACTGCAAATGTGATGAGTCGGTGGCAGATGCACTCTTGGGATTGCTGCTCTTTCCTCCTCGTGGAACAGTCATTCATAAGAGCTGACCTCTCTTCTGCTCTTCATGTATGAGTGAAGAGAGGGAGCAGCTGCTGCATCCTTTACCCACAGTGAGAAGAAGAGGCATGTAAGGAAATTAATATCACAACATGGAAAGGGATGTGTAAACCTCTTTTCCCATTTTCATTGTAGCAGGATAAATTGCCTGATTTCCTGAGATCACCATATTCCAACAAAGCAGCAAGGGATTGAAATGCCAATACACTTCTCTCCTTCCCTCCTCACTTCAGGCTGACTAAAAATTCACCAGTTTTTGCTTAAGTTGTTTTAAAACTTCTTGTTCTTCTGAAGACAATAAATACCCATGGGACACTTTGGAGTGCTGTCCCACAATGCCCATCTGCAGCTGCATCTCAATACAACGCTGTTGATCATCAGGGGTTTTTTTCCCCATCAGTATAGACAGAGATGGCATGGTTTCACCATATACTTCTCTTACTGTCTGGCTGTGAGCCAGGAAACTCTTTATAAAACAGCTGATTTTCTCTCCCCCTATAATTTATCATCACAAGATCTCAGAGGAGTGCCCTTCCGTCTAGGATAGAAATAGTAATGAGTGCCATTGGAGCAGATGAGCCACCTATGCCTAGGATTTGTTTTGAATGTGGCAAGTAAAGTGCTTTCCTCTTAATAGAAATGCCCTTACAATGAAGAAGAACTTAAATGTTTCCTGGATTGAGTTCATTTTCCAATGCCAAGTATTGCTTGAGAAGGAATGTTTTAAGCTATTACAAGAGGTTTTATGATGAATAGTCAATTTGTGGTTAAAATAAGAGCAATGGGAACATGACAGTTACAGCAAGTGTGTTTAAACAATAAGTAGTCTATTTGTAAAAGTTTGAGTCCTGTGATCACTCTCACAGTAAAGCTGTGTTAAGTTGGCTAAAGGAGACCACATTGTAATCTTTGAGGATGTTTTGTAAAGTTCAAGCCTGAGTGTAATTGCAGTAATTGTGTAGTGTTCATGCCAATGCGCTAAACCTAAGATTTCAGTTTAGTTAAAATTGTATGCTGTTACATGTAAGACATGTGCTTTAAATACAATCTGAGTTTTTCAGAGATGCATGAAGTAACACAGATAAATTTTCTAAAACTAAGTACCAAGTTCATTAAATACTAGCTACTTCTTGTTTGCTGTGCCTGTTCCATAAAACATAATAAGATGCTATCTTATTCATGCACACTAGATAAAGCATAATGCATTTCTACTTGTGGTCCTCTGCATTCTCTGACTAAGGAATTTGAAGAAGTCATTGACTCCCCTTAGGGAGATAAAATGTGAAACTTAAGCAAATGTAAGACAAAACTGTACCACAAGTCTATAAATAAATAGTTCCGTTTCTAGTTTTCCCTTTGTTCAGAAGCACTGGATATAATTCTTTAGTAGGAGGTTTGGTGATTCTTCAGAATCTCCTGATAATGCAGATAGTAGCTTGATGTCTGGTCCCCAAATGTCACAGACATTCTGAGCTCTTAGAAAATACGCTGGCCTCAGTTTATGGATGCAACCTCTTGGCTCTTCTGATACCTAAATTTGCACTTAATTTAGGTTTCTTTATGGTAACATTCTGCCATAAAAAATGTCAAGTGGTAAGACAACAGACTGTCCCAGCTATAGACCTAATATCTTTGAGGAGAAAGCAAATTTTTTCAGTGAAGAAAGATGCTGTAGAATTCTGTGGTCACCTGAGAGGTACACACAGCTGAGAAGAAAAGGAAGTTCGGGTTCTGAAATTTAAAAGGGAATAAAGAAGGGGTCCTTCATCTACATTTGTGTTTTTTGACCTCAAGGACAAACGTGTGTCACAAAGTAGAGTTCTTTTCCTTCTTGTAAAGAATCATAAAAGCTTTCCTTTTAACTGAGAGTATTAACTAGGTGGAATATGTCTTCCTGATGCCAGAAAAAATATGTTTGTCTCCAATTTAGATTTTTCCCTGCTATATCTAAAGCATTTGTCAAAGAGGAATAAGACAAAGAGACACTACAAATTCGTTTTCCTGTGATTTATAGTTGAAGTTACAAAACAAGGAAAGTACCTCTTTAGTATCTTTAAAAAATTGATGCCACAGTCATGCTGTGTTTGCTGCTATTTCTGGGTAGCAATATGTTAAGCTGGGAAGTTAATTGCATTCAATGTATACCATGGATCCACAATCCCGTGAGGTAGCTTGTCTGGATGAAATTCAAGTGAGAGCAGCTGAAGTATTTAAAACAGGCATCCCTCCATTAGTCAGAGAATAAGTTAGCATTTATCTGCAGTACTGAATGGATAAAATTTCTGCTCTGATTTATCAGTCACCTCTGTGGAAGTTCTATGTCATGGAGGTTTTTGAGCTCATTTGAACATATGTAGGCAATATTTTTTTCCAAAGGGATTAAGTTTGTGTAATTTATTTTCCATACCGCTGCACATTTATCCTGCTCCGTTTCTTTCTTCCTGCTCATCCAAACAGCTTTTGAACAAATAACTTTTGAATAGAGGGATAGCACGTCAAACGGCTTTCTTGGAGGTCAGCTGAGTGGGAATACAGGCGAGGTGGCACTCAGTGCCCTGTAAAGGATGCATAAAAAAGTTATCTTAGATTTTTGTCTTAGATTTAGGTAGTTAGTTTGGGAATAGCCTTAGAAATCTCTTTTCCACAAGGAAATATGCAGCTAGAGTTGATAGTCGGCTGAGATACAAATGTGGGAGAAAAAACACCTTGTTAGTTCTTGAACTTCTTGTTCAATGTAAAGGGCAGTAATTCTTTCTTCTGGCATAATTAACCAAATTCATGACTGTTTTTTCCTTATTTCTCAAATAAACACTCTCAGAATAGTTTCTGAATCCTTAGGGTAATTAATTTCTGATTTACATTGCATATTTTGGTTGCATAGCTAAGTCATGCAGAAAGCAGCATTGTGGTCATTTTGTGATATCTAAGTCACTTAATTATATATGTATTTATAATTACATACAGCAGTGAATTTTAGAAAAAGAAGTACCCTTTATATGTGCAAGCTAGAATCAGTCTTAATCTCCCCTCTTCTCAGTCCTAATTCATTTGTGAATTGCATTCTATTGGATGGGTGAAGCAATGAAGTACCACCAAGACAATCTGACTCCTGAAGTTTCTTTCCAACCTAAAGGCTGTTAGATATTTCTCTTTCTGCATGGCTGTGAGCATGCATGCACACACATGCATGTACAAGTACAAGTATACAAATGCACACCTTTTCTGGCAGTGTTCCTTCCTGGCCCTAAGTGGTGCTTTTTAAATGTCTTAATAACTCTGTCTTTATTGCTGCTCTGTGTGTCTTTCACATTGTTTATGGTCTATTAGATGTGCACATTTTGCTTTACTGCTTTAATCGCTATTTTATTCGTTCTGTAGTTATGTGGGTACTTTCCTTTCTTCATTACAAGTCCTTCAAATAAACTTATTTCTGTCTGGTACTACTTTCTGTTCTTAATTTTCTCTCAACATAAGCTGTTTCAAGAAACCAACTGAACTGGCAAAATGATAGGCAAGCTTACAGTAGCTCTTATTTAGGGATCAACAGATCTTGCATTAGAAGTGTATGCTATTATCTTTGATTTGCAGATTGGAAAGCAGAAGTACAGAAGCGATTTGTCCACAGTCTACCAGCATGCTAATGGTGTAGTTGGGAATGATCCTCCAATTCCTAATATTCATCAAATGCTCTTTCAATAACAGCATCTCTGGTCTCGCTCAGTTTGTAGCACCTCATGCCAGTGAGAACGGAAAGTGTGTTTATCAATTTTGCAGCTCCAAGAAGAATACTCATAATATAAAGATAGATTTAAGCCATTATCTTTATCTCAGACTTACAAACTGTGCTTTCCTTAACTGTTTCATCTAAAATACCATTTAGTCTTAAAACTAAGCTCTGGGACTTTTCATTTAGCTTTATTATCTTTTCTGCTTAAAAAAAGCTAAAGCAGCTCATTTGGTTATATGGGGTGAAGATATAAAAAATTAGTTTTATTGAAACCTACAAGCCTTTTAGTGGTGTAATGTTAGTGTGTTTAAATTGATAAAAGCACCAGTATAAATATGGAAAAGGGAAAAATATCCAAACCAACTCTTCCTAAAAACCCTTGGCAATAAAGGGATACTCTACTAACATTTCCATTTTTAAATTACGCTTCAGAGGTTCAATCAGTCAGCAGTCTAGGGTATTAATTCTTTCAAGTGAATGCAAGCATTCTTCCCTTTGTACTTTTAAAAGTCAAATCAGTCTACTTTCTTTTATGTTGA